TTAGAGATGATTTTAAGGTGAACAAGGCACTGTGAGTTCAGGTGCCAGGTACAATGTTATTAGCATACAATGCTGAAATTGTGGATCTTAACTAATATCATAATAGAACAAATGCCTAATACACCAGCACAGCATGGCCCGTTAGTTCCAGGACAGTGGATTGCAGACAGGGGGATATGTTCTCTTTGTAGCTGCTTAGTATGCATGCGCAGGAAAAAGATTAATGCAAAATGTTGTCAAAAGAAAAGTGATAAGACAGAGCGATGAAATTTGAAGTCTAATTCCAAGAATGCAAAGAAAATTGCATTATGGCTTAATGAAAACATACATGCAACAGACAGACAGGATTTTTAATTATTGCATTACTGCGTTCTGGATTTTAATGTCCACTATATATGAAAAGTTTTATAAAACAATGATAATTTTGATATTGTCAGTTACACTAGCTGTTGATTAAAAATCAGGAATTATAACAGCATAACTATTTTTGGAGTCTGGAATTTCCAGCCAAGGTTGCAGAGATACAGAGACATGTAAACATTCCAAGGAATTGAGAAGTCGTTGTTTTATATTCCAAATTATGAACAACATTATTACATACAGCCATAGAGAGAAAGACATGGCTATTAAATACATTGAGTGCAGTACAATGCAGTACACTGCAGCATATATATTATATAATATAAGATAACTAGCTTATATTTTTTCCTAAACAGAGTTGAAATTATACTACCCTCCTAGAAAAATTGGCAACAGGTGGTTATACATCCTTTGCTTCTCTAAATGCTATGCAAAAATAAATATTTATAAAATTATTAAAAATAATATATGTAAGAAATCAGGGCAAAATAAAATGGTAACTATACAGGATCTCTGATAACTTTTAAACTGAAATTATTAAAGGCTTATTTAAATAAAATGTTAAATACATTTACAGCTTTAAATGTGACCAAAAGATATTAAATGATGTGTTAAGCAGCCAGCCCAATTCACTGGAATAGCATAAGTATTCTACTATTTAAAGTGCACAATTCCTGCACATAATGACTTTGCTTACTTAGGTACAGTATTTAGTCTATTGCAATGGCAATAAAGTCCACCAATTTTAAAAGGGAAAGCTTACTTAAATCAGTGGTACTATCCCACCGTACTAGCAGTAAGGAAATTAGAACAATTATATTGTACTACTGACTGTAATCAGATCAGACACATGTAATCTCAGTGAATTTCATAAACTAGGTTTTTATAAAATACGATTAAATAAATAAAAGTATATAGACTAGGCAATAACAGCAGTTACATGCATTCAGCAGCCTGCTCTCTCAGAGCCAGAAACGGATTAAAATAAATAAATAAATATAAAGAGTAGGTTTTAAAAAGTCCACAGTCAACCACACATGAAGGGTGAAATAATTGCTTCTTTAAAAACTATATGCTGTCGCAATTATGTATATAAATACTGATTAGGGCACAGAGTAGAACTAAAAATACAGTTTTAAATCTCCTATATGGGGATTCAGTTCCACCACATATTCTACAATTCTGAAAGAGGCTAATTTTAATAATATGTGTAAGAGCATTGTGAATATATATAATGCAAAATTAATTTGATATTGCAAAGCCTGCAATATTCTAAACAGATATTAAACTTAAAAAAAAAAGAATGCATAAAGAATAATGCATAAAAAAATGTAGTGTCAATTAAAGTGATAATACTCTGATATATTAAATCACATTGCATATCACATATCTGCTATATGAAAAGTATAATTAAAGTGACATTACTGTCCAAAGCCCCCTCACATCTATTTTATAGAATCTATACTTTTCAGTGGTCACCTCCAAAGAAGCCTCTGAAACTGGGGGGCTCAGAGGGGTGCTCATCCCAAAAGAAATCAGATTCCAGACTTAAATTTTTTTGAAAAATAAATAAATGATAGAAAAGGAATCACGGGAACACCCAGAACATGCATTTTTGTATATAATCTTAATTTGCAGATATTTTATGCCTTAAAGACATATAAAGGATATTTAATTAAATATGCAGGTATCTTTAAAAATTAAGCAAAGTTAAAAAATAAATAAATAAAATAAATAATAATAATAAAAAATTTATTTTACACCACAATATAAACAACTTTGTTAAACAGATTTAAGTACAAGTTCTTATGTCAAGAAATATACAGAATACGTTTACAACAGGCAGTTTAGCATAAATGCAAAGTTGTTGTTTTTTGGGGATTTATTATTGCCCAAGAAATCTCCGAACATACTCAGAATTTTTGAGAGCAGCAAGTAAGACAGCAGATTGCAATGGACACCATTACAATATTGCTTTGCCGATTGATGTCAGAGCTTTAAAGAATAAATAAATAAATGTTCTATAGCTCGCTAGACCACTGGCTTTTAATGAACAGTTTGCCCAACACTTATAAAATAGTTTATTATACTGCACATTATAGCTGTGACAACATGATATACAGTGTAAAAATGCTATTTCACTGTTTAATAGACTTACCCAGTATTTAAGGACGACATGTTTCTTGCAAAGTCATCGGGACTTTGAGGGAGGTTCTAACTACGTTTAATTAATTTACTAAAGAAAAAGAAAAAAGAAGAGGTTTTGTTTTTCCCCTGCAAGTGAGTTTTCAGCGCAAGGTCATTTTGTGTTCACAGACTATTCGGATTTTAAAAAAGCTGTTCTTTATCTCACATTATGAACGGCCTTGTAATTCCTATGCACACTAAAAGTTGGCTTTTAAATGTTATTGTTTTAACTTTAATATTTCATAGTTAATACAGAGGATAAAGTAATATTGAAAGTATATTAATTGATAGGATTTCATTTATCTATTTTGGTCCACTGTTCACTGATCTCAAATCTCAGTCTGGTATTCAAACAGTTTTTCTTACGATACGTCGTGAGTTTATATCCACAACTGCATTTTGCTTTGTGGAAACAAATTGAAAGCCTGGCATTGTAATACGTGTATGGACATGCTTATAACAAAGCATGGGCCCTCTCCTCATAAAGTTGGTCATTAACAGGCACTTTGATGCAATGTGTCTACCAACGCTTTTCTATGGTCACTGGATCACATCGCATACCCTATCTCTCTGTCATGATGCAGAGTTTATGCTTGCAAGGATATCCAGACCTTATCCACCTGGTATCCGCATAAATACTCCTATCGTTTACAGGGGTTAATTACATAATAACCATTGAAGGTAATATGTTGGTTGTTCTTCCTATAGAGGAAAGATGGACTTGCCCTAAAAGCTTTTTCATGGCTAGGACAAGCTCTTATAGAGAGAGGTAATGTACTTCTGACTCCTGAAAAGGAATATTGGTGGTCACAATATGGGAAATACTGTAATTCATATGTTTAGTAATCATAAGCATTTGCTTATTGCCACATTACTGATGTACTGTTTATTGAAATATTAATATCTAACATACTTTTTTGAATTACTATATATTGGAAGTTTGCCAACATCTCATGGTTATAAATATGTTTTTCTATGTGTTGATGCATGTACCAGGTTTACTTGGATATATCCTGTGCGAAGTGCAACCTCTGATGCCATGTTTTCTAGTCTCACTTCCTTAGTATGCATTTGATAATCCCAGGACCATCCATTTGGATGGTGGTCCTGCAGTTACTGCAAAGGAAACCTAAAACTGGGCAACCACATTTGGGTTACTTTGGGATTTCAGTGCCCCAACCACCCCCAAAGAAGTGGGGTTGTGGTCTGGGAGAATGCTGAGGTTAAATGATTATTAACCAAGTTACTAGTTGCTTGCCCCACACAGTGGTATCTATTTATTCCTATGGTACAGATAAGCATTCACAACATACCTGATGATACAAATGGTGAGACACCATATGAAATGTTACATGTTTTTCACTGACAAACATATTTCTGCACCAGGGAGAGCTTAGAACCATTGGTTCTATTAGAGAAATTTAGGGAAGTTTTTTTTCCAGCCCACAACGCCTTGCACCACCGACTTTTTCCTACTGTTGGCCAGTTTGTCCTGGAGAGGGTGACTCTGAGAACATTTACTACAGAGAACAATCAGAGCCAACAGAGAACAGTGAATGCTGTTAAAGATGACAAGATAAAACAAACAGAAAAGCCACCAGAATCATAGCGACGTAACAGACTAAATCATGAGCTGACATCTGAACCTGCAAATGTGAAGGAGAAGGATGAATAGACAGACGTGATACATTCACAGTTAACATGGAATGTACGAAAAATGAATCATCAACATCATTATAAGAAAGACTCTGGAGAAAACAGACTGAACCTGAATTATCTTATACAGTAAGAAAGAAATGCAAAGATGGAAGCAAAAGGATGCTGGAAAATTGGTTATGGTGTCTCCTTCCTACAATCTGCAGCATTATCATAACATCAACCCTAGCTGTCGTTTTAAAACTGCATTGGGATTATGTTAACAAGCAGGAAGCACCTGAACTGAATTGGACTGAACACTATACAAGTACTGTGATCGTGAGGACTACCTCCAAGAACCATCCCAAAAGGAGAGACACAGCTCACAGTGAAATGATTGCTAATGTGACCTACACTGGTATTTCACAAGGAACCTATTGAGATCATTCCAAAAAAACGATTATACACGAGAAAGATGTGATTGGACTATTACAAATCCTAATAATGGACTCAACGATGATGACAAAGCATGCTGAAAACAGAAAAAGACGGGACAGATACTTGTGAAAGACTTTGGATGCACCTATGAAGGTGATAGAAGAAAAGACTTTGCCATATAGTTTATCATTGAATGACTACCGCAAACAGCCTTCTTATGCTGAAAAGAAGTGCTATGCTAACTCTGGACATTGCTATTAGAAATAAAGGCTGATAACTGTCAACACCCAGCTGTTTTTCAAGATGGAACATGGTACTGAGAAAACCTGATTGACTATCAAAGCACCTCACAGTACAAGACACAGATTGTTGCCTACAAGTCAGAAAAAGTGGTTAATAGGAAGGATCAGAAGAAGAGGAAAATAGATTTCCTACTGGAGTGAAAAAAACATCCTGGAACAATATTCTGCAACATTGAACTTTACAATGACATTTGGTGGCATATGAATTTGAATTTGGTAGAAACACATCAATTAACAAAAGAAACCTTGATGCAATTAATAAATAACAACAAGACCGGCCTACTAAGAGCAGATGCCCTGTCAAGAGAATGGAATATAAAAAGACCAGCAAAATCTTTCAGAAACCTGACATCATGGGACACTTGCACTAAAGCACGATTTGCAGCTTTTCTTAAACTCTACATATTATGTACATACCTGCAAAGCAAGGAACTCCTGTAAACATAAACACAGAGACATTGATACAACAAGGAATCTGTAATGGTTCTGTTGCAGATGTGATCTACCGATGTACTCCTTGCTCTTTTGGTATAACTATACCAATCAAAACGTTAAATGGCTCCATAGAATCAAACGACAAAGCATTCTTGCTATATTCTGGACTTCCAGGAATGTGGTGCATGGACCGAAAATTATAATTACTAAAGCAATCATGCTATTTTTTCCCTGTATCAGAAATGTGTCAGTGACAATGTGTAATATAATACAGATACTATAATTAATGGTATAAGAAACACATAATGTGTTAATTACAAAGGTGGATAGACTTTGTGAATATCTGAAACGCAATTGAAGATTATTGCTAAAATGCCATATGCAGCTGCAGTCTGGCCTACAAACAAATATATTAAACATACGTGTAAGAGCATAACAGCTAATTACCCAGATGAATAATTCAATCATGATAGTTAAAGATCATATGATTGCAATAACAACTGCAATAATGAATAAGGTTTAAACCTTAAAAGAAAATGTGAAATGTTTTTATTAAAACAGAAACTACTCGATATTCGTTTAAGTTTGCAGAGTGGTATAATTAATATAAGTGAAATACTTCAACAGTTAAAATTTAACTGAAAGACAGGCAGAAACTTTACTTCAACTATCATAAAGTTTATTTATAATGATAAAAATATTCAGTTTGCCAGAGCCAAGGCCAGTCAATGGAAAATAAAGAGTATTAGGGATTAACCCATCCAGGTGATATACATGATGAATTTAGAAATTAATAATTTAGGTCACCTATTGCAAACAGGTGAAAAGATGTCAAAGATATAAATTCAACATCCATACCACTCTATGTATATATATATTAAAATACACGTAATCAAATATTTTATCAGTTTTTCAAATACAAAGAAAATGTAATTTGGTTTGTAATGGTTAAAGGTACATAAACCACCTATACAAAGGTAGAGTTAAAATATAAATACATTCAATATTGTATCTGAGTGCTTTTTTTTAAAACTCACTTTTAGAAATAATAATAAAAATTTCTAATCATCTTAAGCTACACCCAACAGCCACTGAAAAATATGCTTAAACAATTAAGATTCTCATTAAGCATCCAATCTCACGAACATAACTTTCCACAATGGTTGTCAGATCTTGGTTAAAAAAAAAATGTGTTTTCTAAGACAATATTTGGGGGTTTCTGGTATTTTAAGCCACTAATAACTGTAGTTATATTTACTAATAATAACTAGGGAATAAGTTGTCTTCTCCCTAACAGGTCAAAGAAAGATAATTAACGTCATATTTCCAATTAGCAACTATTCTAAAAAGATTGAGAGATTTTGAATAAAGGAGTATTTTTAACATTTAAAGAGAATGTAATTTTATATACCATTGTGAACAAAGTTGTTAAATACTTTGCTGCTTCAAATTATCCTTATATATCTAAATCATATACAAGAGTGTTTATCTGTAATACAAAACACTAGAAAGATTAACTATGTTACTATTTCATCTATCATCATTATACAAAGTATAACAAATGTAAAGATTTTTCCACAGATTTTACCTGTTAACATTTTTAGCACAACAGCACCTGATGTCAGTGAGATGTCTATCACTGAGATGTTACAAAGATTCCAATAGAGCAAAAAGAGGCGTTCTTGAGAATCCACTTCGATTGCTGTATCAACATAACATTTACGACAATGTCTTCGAAATGCTGTCAATTAATTTATTCCGTAAAAGAATATCGGAGAGTATCCAATCTATACACATCATAAACGGTGTAAAAATGTTTCATGAAAAAAAAAAAAAAAAAGACAAAGACAAATACCAACGCCATCACCACGGTGATAACAGATGATGCTGATTCAATATCCGCAACCAATTCTAGCCAAATATTTGGAAAGCTGGACTCTACAACCTATACTCTATAACAAATACCCGGGTATTCTACAAACACAACCTCCAGCAATGTATCTAAGGAATGTAAACTTCTACAGGCCTTTACAGACTTTGGATTACAAATACAATTACTATTTTTAACTTTGGATTACAATTCATATCCGGATCTATCCAAGAATATCTTACTCTGGAACCTGGTGTTCTTTTCAGTTCTTTCCCAGACAAAAGCTTTGCTCATTTTAATCAACCACCTTTACAGGCAAAGATCACACTATGGATATTTTACTGTTACAACAATGATCTAAGATGCTGGGAGCATAAAAAATCTAAAGACAGTTGGAGAACTTTGGTTTACTAATTTAAGGAAGAAATGCGCTACAATGCCCACAGTTTAATGGAGAGGGTGTTATGGGCAAATGCAAATATTACAAGTTTTAGAATGAAATGTTGTATTTCTTAAACTGTGTACTTTGTCTTTAAGAGATATTGCAAACTGACAAGGTGTTAGAAATGGAACATATTGTTTTTCATAACTGTTTCTTTAAGCAATAACCTCAGTGCATAATATGTTTGCACCATTTTGTCCCAGACGAATTACAATAACAATAATGCATAAACAAGCTTCAAGGCTATTCTACGACACTTGCAGTACACAATATACTGTGGTAACCCCAAGTTAATGGAACTTCCCCAAATCTGGGAATCTCCCACTACTGTACACTTACGACTTAGTATAAACAACAGATAACCTATTCAGACTTTAAGATGCCATCTTGAACTAAGTCAGGAAAATTTCCATGACTTATACACCCTTTAGTTATGGCCTTGTATGTTTGCCAAATTAAGGGAGGTCCTAAATTGAATGAAGTAAAAGAAGTGTTACTTTTTCATATTTGAACTACAGTAACCTAAAATGGAGACACCTAAGGTATAAATAGGTGTACTTTTAAATGTTAAGACACGGAGGAGAGACTTGGAGACAGACGCTGCTCCATCTTAAAATGACAGAGAGGCTGACATGATGACATGTTCAGAAGGGTATGTTAACCTATTAATGATATTTGCAAGCATGTAATTTAATCTTATAAACTCTGCTATAATGGATTTTATATTTTTATATAATAAATATCCAAAAGACAATCTTGCTTCCAAGACAATCCTTATTTTATATTGTATTCTCAATTATTTATATATGTTAAATAGAGGATCTCTAACACTATATAAAATTATGGCTAAGATATCTGTATGGTTAGCCCTACTAAGTTCTATGCTTTAAGACATTATAGTGGTAAATAAGGGAACCACACACGGTTACAGGTCTTTGACCCCAAAACGTGTGTGTGCGGCGCGTGCGTGATAGGCACGCGCGCACCAATGTCGTCAATCACGTGAGCTGACGTGGGGGTATATTTGCCGTGGATCCGCAGCAGCCGGTGGCCATTAACATGCCGCAAGTGTCAGTCATGCAGACGCACGCCCGCTGGGTGCAGAAACCGCAAGGTGAGGAAGAATTTGTTACACTACAGCCCCTATCCACCACTACATTTCCTAAGCCACCAATTACAGCCCCTAACTCTCAACTGCAGCCCCTGTCCCCCCACTATAGCACCTAACTCCTCAATTACAGCTTCTATCACCCCACTACAATCCATTACTTGTCCCCCTTCAGAGATTAGGTTCTGGATCTGCCCCTGCTCTGTATGCCTGTGTCTGTATGAATATATGTTTGTGTCAGTATGTCTCTATTTCACTCTACTGCCCTTGTCTTTCCCTCTACTGTCCCCCCGTATGCCTCTGTATGCCTTGTTCTGTATGTCTCTGTATGACTATATCTTTATGTCTCTGTTTGTCATGTTTTGTATATTTCTGTGGACTATATGTCTGTGTATGTATATTTATGCATGACTTTGGCCATGTGTCTCTGTATGCATTGTTTTGTCTGTTTCTGTATGCTTTGTTCTGTATGTCACTGTATGCCTGCATCTTTATGTCTCTGTTTGACTGTGTCTATGTCTCTGCATGACTGTATGTCTGTTTGTATATCTCTGCATGACTGTCTTTATTTCTCTATATGACAGTGTCTGCATGTCTCTGTATTTGTCTGTATGTATGTGTTAGTATATGTGTGTGCCTGTATTACTGTGTTTGATTGTGTGCTTGTATGGTTACGTGAGTTGGTATATATCTATGTCTATATGGCTAAGTAGGAAAAAAACATGCAAAGGACCCTGGGGGAGGAGGGACACACAAAACTGGCTGAGGGGAGAGACCCACACAAAAAAGGGCTGTGGGAAAGAAAGAGAAACACAAGGGGAAAGAGGGGGGGGGGGAGAAAAAGATACAGAAGGCGGTTGTAAGGGACATTCAAAGGGGTCTAAGACACACTAAAAGGGGATACAATACACTTAAGGGAGTAAGAAATTCAAAAGGGGTATTAAAAGACACAGCTGAAATGCATGTTTTGGGGGAGTGGTTGAAGGTGCCAAAAATTCTTGCACCAGCCCTGATTGTATCTATTTCACCTTCTGAGCTCTTCTGTTTTAAAGTCTCCAAAACCTGGCTCTCTTCACCTGACACTGCTACCTCGCAATCTATCTTATGGTTGGATTACACTTATTCCACTCCATCGGACCATTCAGTGCTAAGGATGATGTTGTGGGGTTGTTTCTTCTTTCTTGCCAAACATGAGTACCTCTCTCATCTCCACCTACTCTCGTGATCCCAAACACCTCTTTCATGTCTTTACATCCCTTCTTCATCCCACTACAACCCCGCCATTAACTAACCTCACAGCTAGTGATTTTGCATGTCACTTAACTGACAAGAGCAACCAAATTAGGAATGCATTATCCCCTCTTTTCTCCAGCCCTTTACTACTTGACTTCCATTTTGTACTTACTTCTACTTTTAACTCCTTTCCCGTTGTCTATGGGCTAGAGGTCTCTCATTGTAGCTTGTCCTCTTAACGTCTAAGCTCATTTAGTGGGTTTTACTCACCATCTTAATACTTTCTCAATATTTGACCTTGATCTTCTG